ACAAAAAGTGTCGGAAATGCAATTTTACATATAATATATAAAGCTAAAAACCCTAACACGAACCCTAACACGAACCCAAACCCAAACTCTAAACTAAAGCAAAAAATACGCCACACCATGTGATTGTCACGTTACTGCAAAAGTGTCTAGACCCCTGGAGGGGCCACTTTCCAATAGACATTTTATTAGAAGAGAACTGTTAATAGCTGGAGTACTGTATCCTGCCATAAATAAGTACCCACCTTTTGCAATTTTCATATCCAAGTTTCTCATAATTTAGTGATCGGATCTGTGTAATTTTGGTACCATTTGAATCGTTTTGATAAGCTGATTCGAATAGTACCAAAATTACACAGATCCAATCACTAGATCATGAGAAACTTGGATATAAAAATTGCAAAAGGTGGGTGCTTATTCATGGCAGAATATGGTATATACATATCTAAAAACTAAAGTAACTACAAATTTGTAAAATCTTGCAAGGAATCTTTTTCCTTAAGATATCCAGAAAAGGTTTACTTGCGAGTTCTTGAGATATTACAATTTTTTTAAAAAAAGTCATTTGTAATTCTTCGCTCTTATTGTACTCTGTGAAATGAGCCAACATGTGTCACTTTTAACATGTATCATTCCATGAAATAAAGATGTGCTATCATGTACATATGTATATACAACATGCATATGCATATAATCTTATGCGTGCCATTTCATGTAGCATGATATAACGTGCCACCCATTACCGTAATTTTTAACCGTGCCATTCCGTAAACCACACCTATATGTGCCATACGATCTGTACTATCCCATGCATATACACTGTTTCTCCTACCCATATCCCAAACCACTTTTCTTATAGAGTAAGGCATTGGAATGATAATTGCTATAAAAATCGCAACCCATAATTCCAGGCCGGAATTAGGGTGTCTGGCATAGTGGCAAAGACATGCCAACAGTGGCATGCCAAAAACAAATTTGGCATGCCACTGGGTATAGTATAAAAATTATATTTACAATATTCAAACCATATATATTAGTATTGCCACTGGAATTCTGGAATCCCACTAGAAGTCCAGAGTTTTCCAGCCTTCCAGTGGTTCCAATAAGAAATCTCACTGGAAGAATTTTTCCACTAGAACCGGTATAGGATTAGCCAATAAAAATGCATGAATAGCAAACAACATTAACCAATAAAAAACATATATATTTCATGTGATTTTAATTATAAAAACCTTTCGTACATAGTACGTAGCATACAAGAACTCAGGTTGATTAAATTAGCATAGCCCAAAAGAGAAACTAATCGTAAAACAATTATAAATTTATACTTCTAGTGTTCTTTTATTTATAAATAATATTCGTTAATCTGTTAAAAACCTTTCACTATGTAGTACATAGCATACAAGAACTCAGGTTGATCAAATAAGCAAAGCAAAGAGAAACTAATTGGTAAACCAATTATAAATTTATACTTCTAGTGTTCTTTTATTTATAAATAATATTTGTTAATCTGTTACAATTTATGTGTTGCAGGGTTAATACCAGCATAGTTCTTTCCAAGATCTAAACCAGAATATATTATATGTATTTGGAGAGTTTTTTTTTTTTTCTTTTTTTTTTTTTGCTTAATTTTAAAATAATTATAATTTAAATAGAAGGTAAAGTTTCAAGATTTTATTTCGACGCAATTATTTAATAACACAAGTTGGTTGCCTATAAAGGAGGCTCTAAGTGCTGCTGTCAGAACAATAGACTATGATAAATATCAATATAATCATGTATGAAGAGATAAAGGCACACAAAAAAAAGTAGAAGATATTCAAAAACAAAAAAACCTACCTATCATTATTCATATAATTTGGTTTTTGAAATTGTGTACTAAATATATTACATAATTTCCATTTCGCTTTATCATCTACTGCTAAATACTTGTAATTACTCAACAAATCACTTTCCATATAACTATCATAATTGTCTTGCTCTTCTTCTTCTTTCTCTAGTCTAGCAACTTCTTCATCTATTAGCATTTCCTTCTAGTTACATAATTGATTTTCCCAATCTTCAGCATTTGTTATATCTGATGATTCATTATCAGTGTCTTCATTCGTATTTATATTTAATTCAATTTGTCTATCTGTAGGTTTATTTGTAGTTTTACCAATAAGTAATGCGCTTGATTGGTTGAACATGGTATCACAAGTATTAATTTGTTTTTTTACTCGAGAAAAGTTAATTGAAGCACGAATTTGACTCATAGCCAGTACTTTATCATTCTATTTTTTTTTTTTTAAAAAAAAAAAGTCAGTTAATTTTAAAACTAGTAACCAAGAAAAAATCTTACATGGAGACGGCAACGATGGTTAGTATGAAAAAATCTCATTAAACTCCATAGTCATTCTACAGATGCTGCATTAACACATATTTCAAATAAGCATATGGCTAATGGATCTAATTCTTTAGTTGAAAGTGAAGCGAATTTCCAAAATTGCAGTACATTATCTTCAAGTTGTTCATATATTGCAAGGTCAAAGAGATATTTACGTTTTCTATATTCTTCTAACTCAAGTAAGATACGAGTTGGTCAGTGTCTAAACCATGCTTTGTAATAATAAATAACGAATTGAGCTAGGTATGTAAAGTTTAAGTTTTTTTTTTTTTTTTTTTTTTTTTTTTTTTTTAAAAATCTTTGACAGTCTTGCAAGTACTCAATTTATTGCAACTATATTTAGGTGATAGCTGAGCTCTCTCGAACAATACATATATTATTCATAACCACAAACAGGGAGTTACCGCAATAGCAAGCCTGATATTATCTGGCTGCGATAAATGTGCCATATGTAATTTGTCACACCAACCTGTATACAAGTTAGATAAACTTTGTCAGCCCGTTAAAGCTTTTCCCTTCATATCTCCTTTCTTTACTGAGAGCAAAAGAAAGTGATAATCTTATACAAAACTACCAATACTACCAAGAAAACAAAATGAAAACCTAACTAAAAAAAAAAATATATAGAACGAAGAGGTATTTTAAAGGAAAAAAAAGGAGGGTACAGTGAGATGTAAAAAAAAGAAACACAAAGAGAAAAGCCCGAGGGCTGACAAAGGGGGGAACTACCTCTATCAAGAAATAGTATAAAGGGAACGAGATAAAAAAAAAACAAAACAAGAAGAAAAAATGCACTATTATAATCTGTGTCAGGTTTAAAAAAAAATTTATAACAACTGCAACGTTTGTATATCTCGATTACAATATAAGAATTTAATATCTGACTACCGGCCACCTCCGGATGCCTCTTATACCAGAGACCCGATCCCAGTCACGTGGAGGACCCATATCCATAGATTATGTCGCGTGTCGTTTCTACTAATAAACAAAGCACGTAGTTGTATTCCTAAGTATGTCTGAATTTGGGAGGTAAACAATGCTGATCTTTTGGAGGAGGTAAGCCAAATCGCCCACTTTTTGTCAAAAAATTTGGAGAAGACCGGCCAAGCGAAAAGCACCTAGGGAGAGACCACTTGTATCCAAGAAAAGTAGTTACATCCATATAAAGACTCAACCACTCCTTAACCTTCTTCTAAGAAAGGGGTAGACATATATACTTTCTTTTCGGTAAGTAATAAACTCTGGGCTTGTTGGCAAGTAGCATATGAGAACTACTTCTAAACAACAAGTGCCGTGCAAGCGGTGAGTGATAAACTCTGAAGAAGTTAGCAGGTAGCATATGAGAACTACCTCTAAATAAC